GCGACGCCGGGAGGCCTCGGGCCTCGCCCTGTGCCCCGGCGTGAGCCGCCGTCCTTCCCGCCGCCCGCCCTTTGGGTCTTCTCCCGCCAGCCGTGCCCGTGCTCCCGCGGGGTTCGGGATCCGCCCCCGCCCTGATCCTGCCTGGCGGGGGTGCGTCCTGCCAGCATGGCCGGGGAAGGAGACAAGAGGAAGCGCTTTATTTCAGCCACGGCCGCAAACTGGGGTCCCGCGGGGGGCCGGCCTGCCCTGGCCGCGGGGCTCCACTCCCGCCCGGAGCTGGCCAGCTTCCTCGACGACGGCAACGAGTTCCTGCTCGTTGTGCAGCACTCGGGCAGCCAGCTCACCGCCTCCAACAAGGTACGGTGGTGGTAGCGCCCAGCCGAGGGTGTGCGGGCACCTGGGGATCCAGCGTGGCCACCTCATCCCAGTGGGTGAGGGGGGATGCGGAGCCTGGGGTCCAGTCCAGGTTTAGTGGTCGTGAAAGGCTGGTATCTGATTCGGGAGACATCTCCCTGCTATGCTGGCCTCAGCGTCTGCCGCGTAAATTACTGGCCTAAGGGTCTGTGAAGACTGGGTGGCCAGCTGTGCGATAGCTTTGTTAGCGGGTTGTGCCCGTGCTGACACGTAGTTTCAGCATGCCGTGTGCTGTTGCTGTGGGAATGTGATGCAGCCTGGCGAATCATGTGTTGTCTCACTGCAAATCCCAGGTAGAAGCTGATGGGTGGGTTGTTCCTGGGCAAGGGCGCATGCAGGTGACTGCAAGGATTGCCTTGCCAATGTCCGTGCAGGAAACGTGGCCCAGTATGTGGCATATTGGCTGGTATTTGACAAGGTGGGTGTTTGTCCAAATCATGCATTTTTCAGGTTGATGTGTCCAGCTGTGAGCCAACCTGAGGTTCACTGTGTGAAATGCCCCGCTCTGGGTGTTTGTGTTCAAGTGACAGGCTCATCCGAGTGCTGCCGTGGGGTGTGATGTGCAGTGAAAGTCACCATGCAGTCAGGACACGGTGTGGTGCTTGCCGCACACAGAGCAGTGCGGGTTGTGGCATGCATCCCATCATTCTGCTGTGAGCCCAGGGACCTGGTGTCTGTTATGTCAGTGACTTTATTTTCTGCACTGAAGACTGGTGTAATGGGTTGTTAACATGTGAACTGCCATGTGGACCTGTAATTTACATACAGAATCACAGAATGGTAGGAGTTGGAAGTGACCTCTGGAGATCACCTAGTTCAACTCCCCTGCCAAAGCAGTTTAGCCTAGATCAGGTCACACAGGAACACGTCCAGGCGGGTTTTGAATATCTCCAGGGAAGGAGACTCCACAACCTCCCTGGGCAGCCTGTTCCAGTGCTCTACCCCCCTCAGAGTAAAGAAGTTCCTCCTCATGTTCATGCGGAACTTCCTGTGCTCCAGCTTGTGCCTGCTGCCCCTTGTCCTGTCGCTGGGCAAATTACGATTACACCTCCTGGTGCAATCATCTGTGTGGTCTGTGAAGTGCAGTGCATGCTACATTCATGCAAGAATGAACATTTCCGTGTACCATTTTTTGGGGTGTGCTGCTGAGCCACTGTCTAATGCACAAAGCCACTGTCAGCAGCTATGAAAGGTCAGATGCCCATCAGGGCTGGAACGTATACCTGTTGTCTCAGTGAGAGGATGTCTGTAGGTGTTGGGCTAAAGACTTGATAATAAAGTAAAACTGATACTGTCCATCAAACTGAAAGCACTTCTTACTAGCCCTCTGCTTCTTTTCTCAGAAAAAAAGTTCACAGATGTTTACAGTTGTACAGACTTTGAGATTTCATCTAGTGTATCTTTTTTTCTATTTTATCAAAGGTTTAATAATGTTATTCTGTTTTGTGAATTCACATGGCCACAAATAGTTTCAATAATTGATTTTATGGTAATTTTTGGAACTTCACCCATAATCTGGACTGTGGAGTCACGTTACAACTCACGATTTTGCTGATGAAGGAGCATGCCTTTCTCTGTCCTTGAGAAATCTATCAATTGCTATAGAGTTATGTATTTACAGACTCAGGATAACAATACTGAATGTTTAGAAAAATATTCCCGAAGTTAAGTAGTGTAAAATGCAGTAAAAGAGATAGACTGAATGCTTAGTTTTCTCTAGGCACAAGATGGAGTTTCTGGTTTGTTGCCAGAAAGTGGTAAGTGGAATTTTCACAAGTGAAAACTCCACTTACCACTTTCTGGGGACAAACCATAAACTCAAATAATGTAAGTAATTATGGTATTTACAGATATTTTATAATGAAAAAGGCATTACATATTTGATGCTGGAATTTGGGTTCCTATGACCTCAGGAATGAGTATAATAAAAGCTTTTATTTTCTGTGCAAATCAGAAACTACCAGAATGTTAGCAGAGCCCGTAGGGGGTAATATGGTATTGTATGATTTTTTCTTGATGTAAATGATTTGTGTAAACCGTGTAGGTAGTTTAGTGTAACATGCAGTCAATGACAGTTTTCTAAACAAATCATGTCTTCTTGATTATTACAGATTGAAGCTACTGATTCAAAGAATAACGTGTTGGTGTTCTTTAAGCTGCGACCTGATGTAATTACAGAAGATAATCTTCATAGTAATATTCTTGTGTCATCTATGCTAGATTCACCAATTAACACCCTTTATCAAGCTGTACGACAGGTTTTTGCACCAGTATTACTGAAGGTGAGCAATATGCCAATTTAAATGTTCTTTAGATTTATATTGAAACATTGAAATTACGTAATATTAACTATTTTGAGATAAATATTTTATGTTTCAAGAATAAAAATATTTTAAGAGCTTAAATAATGGATGATAGTTTTATTTTCTAAGTTAAAGAGTAAGGATAAGAGGAGGATTCTGGTCATACATGTGCCTGACTAGAAATGTGGAATACACAGGGCAGTGGTGGTTAGTGGAGACAACAGCTCCTTACCTCCTTTCCACCAGTAATCATAGAACCATAGAATGGTTTGAGTTGGAAGGGACCTTGAAGATCACCTAGTTCCAGCCCCCCTGCCGTGAGCAGAGACACCTCCCACCCGACCAGGTTGCTCAAAGCCACATCCAGCCTGGCCTTGAACACTGCCAGGGAGGGGGCAGCCACAGCTTCTCTGGACAATCTGCACCAGTGCCTCACCACCCTCACAGGAAAGAATTTCTTCCTAATTCTTTCTAAATCTCCCCTCTTTCAGTTTGCAACCATTACCCCTTGTCCTGTCACTTACTTTTCATAGTTTTGCTTTTTTTAAAATGTTCTGAGGCTTTTCCTTCTGTTCTGTTTAAGAATATATTTCCTTTGTGGATTTTTTTGTCAAAAATGGTGACCATGGCTGAGGTTCATAAGCTTGAACAAGCAGAGTTTCAGTATTTAAATATTTTTAATTTCTTGGATGCCATACTATTAATAAAATAATAACTTTTAATGTTTGATTCTAGCAATTTTGAGATTCTACTATAGAAGTAGATTCCAAATTTATTTAACTCAAGAGAATGCGTTAATAAAGAATTTTGAACACATTTTCAGAGTGCCTTAATAAATCCAACAACTGACATTTGATTTTGTGATAAAATATTTTTACAGTATTATTCTGAATTGTTAGGTTAGGTGCTTTTCCTAGACTTTAAGAAAAGTAAATTGTGTGGTTGTCACACCATGTGGTTGGTTACTGCTATTATTCTGAATAATTATATATATTTTTAAGATTAATGGGAGGAAAATTGTAATTGTTCTATCATGTGAGTCACAGTTTTTGAAATTTTCATTGCAGGATGAGAGATGGAGTAAAGCATTTGATCCCAAACTCCAGAAACTTTTAAGTGAGCTTGAAGCTGGTTTGAGTACTGTTCTCAGAAGATCAGATCCTAACTACACAGGAACAAAATTCAGTGAAGATGATGTGCGAGGTTTGTTTTGAAGTTACGTCTTTTATATTTAATTTTCAATTAGGAGTAAATAATTTATTTACAGGTTGAGTTTTCAGTCTTCATTATTGCAGTCACTGCAGAGTGTGAAATGTAACAGATTGTGGTGAGTAGATTGGAATTAGTGATGATCAACTCTGGTCTCTTCGTATGAACTGGATACTACATCTAGTCAGAGTCAGTAGTTGAAGGATAATTACATAACCATATAGTAAAAATTTGCTTTAGAAAGTGTGTTCTGACTGAAAATATTTTGTGACCACTCGCATATTTAATATTTAAACATTTTTCATTATTATTTGCAGCTATACTTACACCAACAGATGAATTTCAGTTCTGGAGAGAATGTGCTCATCATGGAAGTAAATGGTGTAGTAAAGAGAGAGCTTCTCATTTTAAAGACCTGTTTGAGGACATTGCAAAAGTATGTTTTCTTTTATGTGATCAGTGATATATTTGTAGACTTAGTAAAAAACAGTCTTCTTATGTAATCTATGTCAATATATGTCCACTTTTTTCAAATAGATGAATATATAACTATTAAGTTATTTTTTCCTTAGGTAAAATTTTACTTTAAATGACATTCATGTAGTTTCTAGTGACAATGGTGCAGGGGAAAGCCTACATTGCATTGGGAGCAGATTTGACCATTGAATACTAAGAGCTGCTGTAGAAATACAACTGTATGCTACAGTTTGTGAACTAGAAATTGGCTCATGAAATTATAAAAAGGAAACCTGAAAATGCAAACAATACTAGTGAATGCTGTTGTTAAAATTTTTGGCACCCGTAAAGCGCTTACTTGAATAGCGCTTCAGGTATCAGTGCATTCTTCACATGAATAAACTTACATAAATACTTGGTTTTTGAGAGGATGATGCCATATTCTGTTAAACAATAAAACCCAGGAAGCTATAGCAGTTGTCAGCTTCAGAAAAGTATAAATGTTTCTACAATACTAGTTGCAAAGTAATTTTATTAAGGGTATTTTTTTCTAGGATTATTACAGCTTGGATAGTCTCTCATTATTTGAAGTTGTGGATTTGGTGGAGACTACCAAGGATACTGTTGATGGTGTGTGGAGACAAACAGAACATGATCCTTATCCACAGCCACGCATGCATAATCTCTTGGATGTAATAGGTAAACCTTTGTGCAGTCTTCATTAAATGAACAGTTGAGAAAAAAGTAAAATGAATCCTTCAGCAGAGGCCTTTGTCCTCCTGGAGGCACCAGTGGTAGCCTACAGTGTTAAGGTGCTTTCTTCTTGTAATTATGATCCATGAATATTATTTGCCTTATAGTATCCAATAATTCAGCCAGTTCTGGTAGATGCCTTCACACATACTTGGGAAGATGACAGATGGTAACAAGATGAAGTTGGATACCTTTCAGCCTGTGGACTGGATTTGTCTTGCTTCTGTTTGACTCCTTGTCTCTGTCTCAGAGGATAAAATTTATTTACATAAACCCCCATTTGAAGGTTGATTCAGTCTGTGTGGAGGTGAGAGCAGGACATGCAGAGAGATTGCTCCTCTCATTCTCTCGGCAGCAGTCCCACGTTCTGGGACAGCCATAAGACTGTGAGTTTGTTGCTGCCAGATGTATGTGTGCATGAGAGGAAGGATTGTTGGGGGCAGCCAGCTCTTGACCTTACTGCTGATAAAGACAGGTGCTTGTGTGTGGATCCCAGAACCCAAATCCATCAGCTTCTGATGTTGGACCAACCTCTGTTTAACTTGGAGATGTTGGAGAGGTTTATTGAATCTGAAAAAAAATAATCAGTTATTGATACATTTGTGTGGTTTGAAATCAAGACATTACCTTAGTTTTTTAGTAACGTGATTGGAACGTGGTGTAACATTTAAAGGAATTATTTTAAACAAACATAACGTACTGATTTTGTATACTTTTTTTGTGTTCTAGGTGGCTCGCTAGGTAGATATGTTCAGAGAAAATTAGCAGCTTTGAATTTGTGGGAGGATGCTTTTCACAATGTTAAAGAAAATCTAAAGGCTGGCATCTTGATTTGTGAGCAGTGGGTGTCAGCTTGTGAGTACCTAACGGGGCAACTGTGGCAACGTTATACCCTGCATCCATGGAAAAATGAGAAATATTTCCCTGAATCGTTAGCCAAACTTGGCAAACGTCTTGATGAGGTAGAGATTTGATTTATACACATTTATTTCATTAGACACAGAATTAAATAACATTGGTTTAAGTTAAAAAATGGAATTAAAACACTTAAAGCCTTTTCAGGGTTGGATAACATTACATAATCCATGTTTGCCTAAGCCTTTCAAAAGTTTCTTGTAAAAACGAGAGGGGTGGGATGTGCTGCTTGTGATTTTTGATTCTAAATGTAAGTTTTATGTAAAAATGTGTTGGATGTAGCAAATATTTTTTTCTGTTATAGGTGCTAACTGTTAGAACACTGCATGAAAAACTTACATTCTTTTTGCCAGCTGGAGAACAAAATGCTTTATATCTTGCCCAAGTGTTTGAACCTTTTGCTGGCCTAAATCCTGTACACTATAATCCTTACACAGAGGTAAAATGCTTATTTTTAATTTATTCACATTCTTTTGATGACTTTTTGTGGTGTATATGAATGATCATAAACTTAACATGTGAACTCATTATCTCTAGCCATTATGGAGAGCAGCAGTTTCTCAGTATGAGAGAATTATTGCACCAGCGGAACAAAAAGTAGCAAGCAAATTGAAGAAATTTATTTCAGAAATTCAGGACAGTCCTCAGCAGGTATGATTATTTTTGTCATCTGAAAACTTCCCTGAAGATAAAGTTATTGAGTTCTTAAGTAGTCAGTTTACAGCACAGGGGTAAGTATTTAGAGCCAAAGACAGTACTTATTAACAGCACTGACAGTAGTGTCAGAATATGTTTAATGTTTTTCAGGAGAAAGAGATAACTTTTTTAAACTTCATATTCCAGCTTCTTCAGACATTTCAGAAATATAAGGAACTGATAAAACATCCAAGTATAAGCAAAGAATTGCTTTTTGAAAGGGAGACATTGCTAGCAAGACTTCAAGATTACGTCAAAGGTAAAAATGTATTTAAAAGTCTTTAATTGCATTAGTCTTTTTGCAAATACTAGAATCTTTTTAGAATTACTTTTTAGAATTATTTTTAGAATTATGTCAATATCCCGAGTGTATTTTTATAACTACAATAATAATTTTAAGCTTGTTCTATTAGGTTTCTGGACTAACGTGAATCTTTTGCTTGTGTTAGACTATCAGACAGACTTTGAAACTCGATGCCATGGTGTTCCTGGTGATATTTCTGGACCACTGTCAGGCAAAAACCTTTCTGAAGTTGTCAATAATATTGTGTGGGTACGGCAGCTGGAGCTGAAGGTAACAGATTCTGTTACTGTTGAGACACGATGTTATCATAGAATGTAAAACATAGTATGTGAGATTTCTGTGGGGAATTCCTCACAGAAGAATTGTGGACTTGCCAGGAGTTATATAATCAAGATTCCTTATCAGTGGTGCTGCTTGCTAAGTTGAATTTTATTAACTGACCCAGAAGACAGTCTTTTTGTAATACACTCAACTGCCTGCTTTTATGACTTTTCTTTTTTGGTAAAAAAAAAAAAGTCCAAAATTCTGAGAGGAGATGTTTCTGTTAAATTTTACGCTCCAGTTTACATTTTAAGATTGTTTTAAGATTTACAGATAGCCAGATTCTGGCATCCTAATTCTCATTTGTTATTACTAACTTGCGTAGTGTCCACTTGAAATGAAAGGGATTTCTTGGTAGTACTTTTCTGAGTCAGTGACTGCCAGGGAATTTACTACAGAGGAGGTAGTAAAAGCAAATATCAAACGTTTCTGTGTTCTCTTACAACAGAATGAGTTTAAAACGTATTTGACTCTATTTTACCTTACATTATTTTTGTTAGTTTGCATTTGCACTTTAGTTGGAAACTCTGGTACTTTTTTTTATAATGTATCGACTAGTTAAAAGCAAAATGTTTCCTGTAAAAATAAGTGCAATTTACAATAACTATAGGTTTTAATAAGACTAGAAGTTACTTATCCCAGAATAACTATTAGCCCATTTTTTTTTTTGGCCTTCACCCGTGATTTGCAGAAATCTGAAAGGCCCATTTCAGCTGAATGTGACAAAGGGTGGAGGTCTTAAAGGTGTTACTTTGAATGGGTCCTACAGAGAGAAATCAGCAGCTTAGGTTTCACCATTATTTCTTCTGCTTGGTCTGCTGAAGACCTAAGAGCAGTTCAGCTGATGTCTGTCAGTTACGTGTCTGCTTTACACTGTGCTAAATTTTTTAATTGCTCTCAAATCTCCACTGGTTGTATTGATTAGGGTTTTGATTAATTTATCCACACGTAGATGTGAAATACCATTTGAAATACCTTTGAGCATTGGCATGAACCTTATAGACGCAACAAAGGACGCATGGGAGATCTCTACCTTTATGGAGAATTAACTAAAGACCAGGTGGGATACTCTGGGGTGTCTTAATAGTGGTAGACACCTGTGGTGGACATCTTATTCGGACCCAATTTACTTTAATGGGAACTGGAATGTCTGGGACACAATTCAGGATTCACTTTTTTTTTCCTATTTAGTTTTTGAATCCTGCTTGGATGTTTTGTAATATGGATTTTTATTGTAATTTTTCTTTTGTGATTGAATACTGGGAAGTTAAGCTTCTTTTCTTCGTGATTGTGTTTAAGGTGGATGATGCTATCAAGCTGGCAGAGGCTCTTCTGTCTGACTTACCTGGATTTCAAACTTTTCATCGAAGTGCAGATTCTTTTCTGGAACAGTTAAAAGTATATGAACAAGAACAATTTGATGATTGGTCTAGGAATATCCAGTCAGAATTATCAAATCCCAAGTCAGGAGTTTGGTAAATACATTCTTGTTTAAATAATGTTTATGCTGAAATCTGTAGTGTAATTCAAGAGAACTTGATGAAGGAAATACAACATTTTATGGAATTGAGAATGAGTGGAGAAACAAAATGGGAGAGTTTATTATCATTTCATCATCCTGCCAGGCTTGGTTGGTGAGGTGAAGTATGCAGGACAGTGTTAATAACTAGTCTTGCAGCTTCTATTAACACCTGGAATGAAAGACATGTTTGTCTTGCTTGTTGTTACTACTTGTTATCCATTGTAGCCCATATAGTGATAATGTCTAGAAACCAGATGAGATTAGAGTATAGCTTGATATACAGGTGCCATACAGAGTAACAAATTAGTTGCTATTCACAAGAAATTCTGCAGTCTAAATAGAGTGGATAAAACAAGGGTAAGAAAATAAATTTAAACCTCATGAATTGTGTTCCCAAAAATAATGAAATTACTTCATGGGATACTAAAATGTATTTTAACTTTTTTTTTTTTTTTAATTGATTGGCCACATAGCTTCTGTCTGTATCTCTGAGTGTTGCAAACTTTCTTTGAAAATAAAATTTGTCTACAGTTTCAGACAATACAGGAGTTGATACTTGTGCAAACATTTATTTTATGAAAAACACTCAAATATAACAGATAAGCAGATTCAGCACTCCCATATATAACAGCCATGTAATTTATTAGTACCATAAAATTTTATTATTGTGAGATTTTAAAAGATGTGAAGAGATTAATTGAAAAGAAAGAAGGTAGCTCACTCAAAAGAGGAATGCAATGGATATGAGAATTGGAAAAAGATGAGAAAAAAGTGAAAAAATGAATAAGCCTGAAGTTTTTATGAAAGAAGTGTAGAAGGATGGTGGTAGAAGCATTATTACAGTAGAAAAAAATGGAGTAAAGTCTAAAGGTAGGCTGATGTTCTTATTAGCACCTGATTGTGTGTACCAAAACGTTCCACTGATCCAAGTCCTGGTTCTTGGATTGATTCCCTTGAAGAATGTCTTCCTCTTTGCAGTGCTGAAGTCTGGGGCCTGTGGATTCAGTGTATTTGAGAGATACTGTCTATCTGTGAGTTACGTGTTAACTGTTGTAACAAGCCAGAAAACTTTTGTGAGCAAAACCAGTAGGCATTGTTCATTTCTTCTTGGCTTCACTGGCTTTGAATTAAGAGAAAGGTTGCTGGAATTAATTTCTGAGTAAATTAAAATGTTAATAAACATAGAAAAACATAATAGAACGACATCAAGCTTTTTAGAATTGTTTGTTGTATTATTATAATATGCACCTAAGAAGGGATCAATATTAAATTATATTCAATAATGTGTTTCATTTGATTTTGGTTTAGCATTCAAGCTAATAGTCCTGTAATGGAGTTGGATCACAAACTTGGAACATTAAACATACTTTATTCAGATCGTTTGGTGACCCTCCTAAGAGAAGTACGTCAGCTATCAGCACTTGGTTTTGCTATACCGGCTAAAATACAGCATGTGGCAAACACTGCGCAGAAGTTCTGTAAGCAGGCGGTCATCCTCAAACAGGTACAGCATTAAGTGCCATAAGAACTTCCTGTTCTCATTTCCCACCTTTAGTAGTAGAACTTTTCTAGACTGTTATCTTTTCTGACTGTGGGGTTAAGCTTTTTACTGTGTTTGTCTGTATGGAAGTGACTTGTTTCTTGAACAAATTAGGTAACTCCTTAAAAGAAAACAAAAATAAAGAAATCCGTTACAATTTCAGAATGTGTCGTCTTTTGAAACCAAATGAATTATAGTATTAAAGCCACGTGAAGTTACTGTATGAATATACAAAAATAAGCCAAGTAGTGAATTGGTCTTCTGGTGTTAATCCCCGTTTCTGATTATTATAACTGAAGGAAAATGTCATAAAATGGAACAACTTGTCCTCACCATTGCTAGTTTTCAACTGAAAATATATTAATAACTATTTTAATGAAAATGAGTGTTTGGTTTTTGGGGGGGTTATTTTTTGATTGGACTCAATGCCACAAAAGTTTTTATTTGGCTTATATTTCAGTTGAAAGACCATGTCAAGTTTTCTTCTGCTACTGTAAAATGCAATAATAAATATGTATATATTGGTAAAAATTCTTATGTAGATCCACAGGCTCAATGCAGTTCCACATGAGGTGTCATTGGTATCTGAGATACCTGCACAGCTAAGACAGAGGTGACACAAGACCTACAAGATACCCATGCATCTGGATCATTGACAGGTGCCCAAGCAGAAACCTTAGTCATCTAGAAAGGCACTAGGTATCTACAAGTGTGGACAACTAAACTGAGATGTAGGGTATCCCTCTTATTCCAGCTGCCAGTCTGGAGGTAAATTGGTGGTTTTTAGGTCTTGTGTCATATCCTGCTGGCCGTCCTGGATAATTGGAGGCCTATGAAATGGCATTAGATGCCTACATTGGCGTAAAATACTGGAACTGTTCCACTTACAATAAATCAGAGGCTGAACCTATTTCACTTAAGGTGAAGTATAGTCACCTCAGACATATGTAAGTGGCAGTCTTTTTTGCAGTCAGAATTCCTCACTAGAAAAAGATAGGATCACATTGGCATGGCATATGTACTTTATTTTTGTGAACGCTTTACTAGCTAGTAGTTAATCTTGATTTCTTAATGGTGTTGGTTGGGCGTAGATTTCAGAAATACCCTACATTACATTTATTGGCATACAAATATTTTTATCTGTTTTTGTAAATTTAATCTCTGCATTTTTACAGGTGGCGCATTTTTATAATTCTATTGATCAACAAATGATTGAGAGTCAGAAGCCAATGATGTTACAGTCTGCTCTAGCATTTGAACAGATAATTAAGGTGAAAGAGTTCCCCTCTCTGTATTTTTTATTTCAGTGGTATCTATGCGTATTCTATGCTGCTTTTTCTGTGTTTCTTGCTGGATTTTTTAACTGCAGCGTTCCCATACAAGCAACATCATCTGTTTGATTAGCATTTGCTGAAATCAGTGGTCCTTTTTTCTGATACTGACATTTAAACAACTGCGTACTCCTTTTCACTTTGGATATTAGTGTAATGTGCTCTCTCAGGAATTATTTTTAGTGTTTGAATTTACACAAGAACCACAATGTGGTCAGTTCCTTAATAGCTGGGAATATAAGTCCTGTTTTAACAGTTCTAAAGAATATTATTTTGGTCTATTTTAGTAAAAATGGCATATACTTTATCCTGGAGATAAATTAGTGTTAAGGAATGGTTTCACTATTTCGACCGTTACTAAACTCTGTGGATCTTGTAATTCTCTTGAATATTTCTAATTCACGTTTTGGGCAGGTTGAAAGTGGATAGTTTCTGTTTTGGATTAAGAGCAAAGAATCTGGGGATCTACCTGATTATTGATTTACACATGGAGTTTGTTACAATGGGTTGGTGTTCAGACATGATACAGTTGCTCTGAGAAGAGGGCTTTATTTTTGTAATTTGAAGTTCACTATACTTAAGTTTTAGATTCTTTTAAGGAATTCAGAGTAATTTATTTCTTTTCATTTTTCTTCTTTTAATGGACAATATGAACTTAAAAATTACACTTTTTTAACACCATATCTCTATTTTATTTCTGGAGAAACATGTTGTATATCATGAATTTCAGTTTACTGGTTTTGGTCAGTTTGAAGCACTCCACCCTCTTCCAACACTCTTAGAATGTGAGAATGGCTGGAGAATTATAACATGCCCATAAGCTCTGTATAGGGCAGGAGTATAATACCTCCAGAGCAAGCATTACAGCGACAGTTGGAAACTCACTCCTGAAAATGATTTTGCAAGACAGAGTATGAGGGGCTGAAAGTAGAAGGGATGTTTGGGGTTGGGATTAGCTCAGACAAAACGGTGGAGAGTCTAGACCAGACTGTAGGTTTAAAACTGTTCTGGAAAAAGTTCCCAAACTGTCTCTTAAATTTTCCTTGGGCTGGCTGCAGATTATGCCACAGATTCCTTTAGTGTGCAGACCCTAAGACAGTGATGGTGCCGAAGTGTTCAAAGCCACATGTTCTCCTATTTGGTGTGATTTCTGCCCTACACCTTTTGGAAATGGGTCCAGCTGTTGAACTTCAGATGTTTTTGGCTTCTGATTTTCCACGATAAACTTAGCGAAATGCATAAACCCTCCAGAATCTTGATGAAAACCCCAGAGAAATGGAACTCCCCAAAGCTGCTTATGAGTCAGTGGAATTTTACAGTATAAGTTAAAAAATTTATTTCTTCATAAATGGGTGAAGTTGGATGGAAATTATTAGTGTCATATTTTGGTTTTTGGTCTGTGCAGATCAAAGAGGAAGGGAAGAGTTTAAGGTGTCCTTTCAGCTTAAGATGTCTGCTGATGTGTGTGGGGCTTATGTGTGTCAGTCTCCAACATCAGTGAATTTATTTTAAGCTTCTGTTAAGGATCTGATATTAATCCTTCCCCAGTGCACTGATGTAGCTATAATGATATACCCATGTGTCTGTGATTTGCTAGATTATTACGTCTCTAGCGCAGTAGTAAGAGGGCGATCCTCCGTTTTTACTAGGAGTAAAACAATCTTATTTTATTATCACTTCCTGTATGCTAGCTGGAAGAGTATATTTGTCATTAAATCTTACAAAGTTTGTATGTTTTTCAAGCATTCAAAATCTGGTCCTGGAGGAAAAGCTCAAATAACATGGGATAATCCTAGAGAATTGGAAGCTTATATCCAAAAACTCCAAGCTGCTGCTGAACGGCTGTCCACCGAAAATAGAAAACTAAGAAAGTGGCACACCAACTTCATTGAAAAGGTATGTTTTATAAGCGATGTTGAAATTGGATCTCTTATAGCTTACTTTATCCTTTCTTTCATTTATACAGTGATAAATATGTTTATTATTCTTTAAAATTCTTTTAACAGGTTATATCACTCATGAACATTGATCTACTTCGTCAGCAGCAGCGTTGGAAGGATGGACTCCAGGAGCTTAGAACTGGTTTTGCCAGCCTCCAGTCACAGGCAGGGTTTCATTAGCATATTGCAAACTGTGAACACTTGACTTTTCAACATAGCCAAGATTTAAGACTCAAACTTAGCATGACTGAATTAATTTTGATTAAGGATTTACTACCTAGCTCAGGAAAACTGACTGTGTTGATGCCGGATGTGAGGTAAAATCTCAGATGAGGAGGATAAGACACAAAAATTTAAAAGATTAAAAAAAAAATCTTTTTTATGTCTTACTAGTAATGGGAGAAGAACAACACTTGGTCAGATGACAGTGGTTAGATGAAGAAATGGGAAAACCTTAGGTCATGTAGTTCAGTTGTGTCTGAGCCATTAACGCAAGGTAAAATGAAGAAATTGATACAGGTATGAGTGATCACTGGGCAGAATAGGACAAATTAATAGAATTTAGAATTAAAATGCATTTCTGCCTGAAATAATGAAAAAGCCACATTTTTATCTATTCACTCGTCAACTGTCAACTTTTAGAACCAAATCATAGAATCATTTGGGTTGGAAAAGACTCTTAAGATCATCAGTAAGGTGATTAAGATTTTGATTAAGAATATCTTTTTATCAAAGTAACTAGATGATACTACTATCACCTAAACTATTTTGAGGTATCATTCAAATCAGTTTAATTTTTCCTATAGCCTTGACGAATAATGGGGCTATATTCTTAGACTGATGTTGTGTTCTTAGCCTTTCTAATGCAAACTCTGATTATTTTAGTTGGTATTTGCCAGTCAAATAAATGCAGTATTTTTACTGTATTTTCCTTATATTTTTTTCCATCTACTCAAGATAATATACATAATAAATAAGCGCATTGATTCAGCTTTTGGTTTGTAATTTCTTTGGAAATTTAGTTTGCAAGTTTTTATCTTGAAGTCGGTATATTTTGTGGAAATTAATAGTCTCTATTTGCTTTAAGAAATGCAAATTTTCTCTTTGAAAATTGTTTTGGTATTACAGAATGTTATATATGGAAAACTAACTAAACTGTATTCAGTCACTTTTTTTTTTTAATCCTTGACTAGAAGTGATAACACTTAACCAAGTGTATCCTTTTTTCACCATCCAAAATTACAAGATGGTATAGTCTTACTGCTGTTGTCATGAACATTTTACATATTTCTTCGAAAACTCCATTTATAATTGTCTTAAGGCTTAGTTGAACCAATTTCAAGTTTTCTTAATCTCTGGAATCTTTCTGTTGGAAGAATTCCTCTGGGCAGCCTTGAATTGTAGGGCAGACCTTAACTGTGTAGCTTCCTTCAGCAACCTTGGACTGCCTCTGAAGCCTTGGCTGAAAAATCCTTATCCAATTAGATAAGAAGAGAAACCTAGAAGAAGTTTCTAATTTCTTTTTTAACTTGTATTGCCGTTTTGAAAATCCCTGTATGGCTTACAAGTGACCATCTACAGACTTGAGTGTATGATACGGCTTTACACATTCTTACAGTGCAATGTAGGACATTCCAAGGAATATCTGAATTCTTTAAGGTAAAATCTTATATCTACTTATTAGTTAATGTTGATCTGTGGAATTTTCTGAAATACTGTTCAAAAGGTAGCTTATATATCATAAGAAAATAAAAGGTGTAATACAGGATTAGAGATCTCATTCAGCTGGCTCGGTATCTTATTTCTTGCAGTCCTGTGCATTTTAGAGTAACCTTGAAGAATCTCATAGTAAACCAATGGACAGTGAACCTCAGTGAAGTTGTTATGCTAAACTGCCATGGAGACTGGTTTGATTTGAATATTTTTCTTTATTCCTATATTCATTTGAAATAAATGTAATGGCTCTAGATCTTCTTAATATTCAAACTGGTCATGGAATCATGGAATATCTTGAGTTTGAAGGGACCCAGAGTGATCATCAAGCCCAGCTGCCTGCTTCTCACAGGACTACAACTAAAATTAAGAGCATTGTCCAGATGCTTCTTGAACTCTGCCAGGCTTGGTGGTGTGACTGCTTCCCTGGGGAGCCTGTTCCAGTGGTGTGATACTTCTTTGAATTTTACTAAGATCCTGGTCTTCAGGCATATAGCTTAGTTTCAGCTTATAATTATGGTTTGAGGAATAGAATAAAATAAAATTAAAAATAAACGTTGTTACATTTTAGGGTTTCAAATCATGTGATATGAAAGCTTGGAGACAGCACTGGAATCACCAACTTTACAAGGCTCTGGAGCATCAGTATCAAATGGGCTTAGAAGCACTCAATGAGAATTTACCAGAAATAAATATTGATCTAACGTTCAAGTAAGATGTTTTCTTTTTTCTATCAAGAAAGTATTCTGGCTCAGATTACATTCAAATGTTAGTTCTTGTATGATTTGTTTCACTTTTTTAGGCAAGGCCGGTTGCAATTCAGACCTCCTTTTGAAGAAGTACGAGCTAGATATTATAGAGAAATGAAGAGATTCATTTCCATTCCAAATCAGTTTAGGGGAGTAAGTGAAGCAGAAGAAGAGTCCATATTCGCTGTTATGACTGAAAGAAATGCAAATGGATTTCTGACTGCTTTCAGTAAGGCAGAGGATTTGTTCAGAAAGCTGACAGACGTTTCTAATCAGTTCAAGGTATTTTCAATATTTGCCTGACTCATGCTTTTTTTTTTTCTAAATATTCGTATCATTTTAGGCTTCGGACATTCTAGAAGTAACTGAGTAATGACATTTGTTGTATTATTGTCCTTGGACATTCTAGAAATAACCGAGCAATGACATTTGTGCATTATTGTGCTTTTCTGCAAGGCATAGAAGCAAAAGCTTAGTAAGTCCATCCATGTTAAGCCAACCGCTTAAGCACGTACCTAGCTTGAAGCATATGTACAGTTCCCATTGAGATCTCTGTATTATAGCTGTCCTTTTACTCTTGTTCAAAGTCTGTTTTGATTATCCTTAAATGTGTATGTCAAACCATTTTGTAGCTCCTGATTTTTGCACTGAAAGAATCTGTAGGTAATTGAAGGAGCACAAAGGTTAAAGAGAATGTACCTTGAAAACACTATTAAAGTATTTTAATATTGATGAGAAACAGAGTCTTTTAGTCTGGAAAATATTTCTTTTCCATGAAATCAAAAATCACGTTGAAAAGGAATGGATCGTAATTGGCCAAGTAGATATGGAAACTCTGGTGAAGACACATCTTTCTAGCAAACAGGACTGGGAAAAAAATTTCAAAGCATTGAAAGTGAGAGGGAAAGAAGCAGAGCGTCTTCCAAGGTATAGTGTAACTCTATTGTTTTGTTTGAATAATGTATTCTATCAGATACTTTAAAGGTAATAGTAAAATAAAGTTATTCTTTTTACGTGGAGATATAGATAGAATTTCAAGTGGTTTAAAATATTGATGTATGTTTTAGAATTTCAAGTGGTTTAAAATATTGATGTACTTTTAAAATGTTTAGATTTTTTTCAGTTTTATTCTTATACACTTATTCCCTTTTATCTGCACAGTTTTCTCTGAAAACTTTCCATGCCTTCCTTTGATATGATAGGAAACCCCCTCAAAATTCAGGGTTGATTCTGAAATACTACAAAACACGGTGATACTTTAACAATTCTTTTAGCTAAGTCCTGTACATGTGGAGTATAGGTGGCAGTTAGGAACAGACTTAGTGAATGTTTATACATTAAATAATTTCTTTATTGAAATGCTCGGTTGCCTCTTACAACTTATAGTTTAAGATATGCTAGTGTAGGCTTTTATTCTTACATATTTTAACATAGAATTTAGTGTATTGAATGGTTAGAGTTCTCAAATGGAACTGATGGGAATCGTGTTCAGAACAAGGAAAAAGAGGTGACATTTAATGCAGGAGAATGGACTGATAGAACATGTTGTCTAAGTGATATTCTGAGTAGTAAAGATTTTCATGAGTACAAGGACATACTGGGGTGAATAGAAGAGAAATTGGCCGATGTGTCTTATAGCCAGAAACCACATGTGGCTATGAAGTGCCATGGGTTGAAAATAATTGGTGTTGAGGGAAGATACTCGGGAAGGTATCAAATAAGGTAGTCCTTTTTCTGTGTTCTTTATGCATCTACTTATGGTCACTGTGAAATATTAGATATGGGGCCTTGAAATGACTCACTATGGCTTTTCTTCTGTTCTTAGAACTGCTGAAGCCTGGGTTAGTAAATTCTCATGGAAATTAGAGATTTAAAGACATGTCTGTACAACTAATTGAAATATTTTTCTCTTTGAGTATAGAAATAGTCATTTCAAATGTAGTGACATTGGTTATATAAAATCAAGCAATTTTCTAACTGTTTGGAGGAGCAGAGCGTTAGACCTTAGTCCCCATAAAACTGCATATATGTGCATAATGGTTGTAAATATTTCAATACTATGGGTAGTTTTCCCAATAAGCTATGACTTTTATTTGTAGAATTATGAGGGAATTTTTTTCTTATTAGGCTAAAAAATCAGGGTAAACTATTGATGTACATAGATCTTAGAGATATTGACATGTAAGTATGCTATTGAGTATTTGCTCTGTTTTAACCTTTTGTCTTGAAGTACCATCAGGATAGATTGTTTAACGGTTAATTGCAACCCTGTGAAAACTGTAATTGATGATTTCATCCAGAAGTTGTACGATGTTCTTGTCATTTCTTTGAGAAAATCTGTTCAAGGTAAATAACTTTAATGAGTAGTATTTTTGGTTCCTCTTGTACTTGCGGACATTTGTGTAATGTAAATACTCTTTTTAGGGAATATTTTGCTCATGGGCACAGTAAGCTGCAGAAAACAGTGCAGACAAAGCAATCTGTTACTAAGTGTTCACTACAGGGCTGACCTAAGACCCCTTGATGTCCACGTGCATCTTTTCCATTCACTTGTTTTGGCCACATCTGTTCCGCATGTAAAAGAATACACATGAACATTGTTTTGCATGTTTCTTTTGTCTGAAGGAGAATTTCTGTGTCATTTCAGGGAGGAAAATTTATTTGATGTTTGAGGGAGGAAAATTTCTTAGGCATTTGAGGGTAATTGAAGGAGGCGTCATGAAATGTTGTAATTAAAAGTATTATTAGATTCTTCTTTCACAAATTGAAATACTTCATGAAGAGTCTTAAATCATCAAGACTTATTCCATAGAGTTACTTGTCAATTAGATTCTCAAAATGCAGAGTGTTAAAGAGTGCAAAATATTTCCCTATTTTTGGGTGGTCTATCTGTATCTGGAACAGGTAGACAAAATGGAATAAGGTGTAGATGATGAGAAATACCAGTGCTTTGGGCTTTAAATGTAACAATCAGCACAGGAAACAGAACAGGGGTTATGCAGAAAGTGAATTATTTCCATAGCCTGAAAGATTAATTGTTTCCTGGAAGATGTATTATTCCCTTGGATTGTGCAGCTCCTTTCGCAGTACCAAAAGGATCTGCCTTGGTAGGAAAATACAATGTATAGCTTAATCAGGCTTTTGTTTGTGAATCTTTTCAATATTTAAAGCAAGGTGGCTTTAGTTAGTCAGTTTCTAAAAAAACCCAAACACAACAACCCCAAAACAAACAACCCCCGCCAAAATCCCAAAAGCAATTTTAACATCTGGTTTTCTCCATTTACCCAAAAAAGATTTTGAAAGTGTATAAATAAATGCTTTACATATTTATGTGTAATTCTCAGAAGGAAGCCTGATACTTACCGTCTAGATCATACACTGAACACAGTGGGTTACATTTGAAAAACTATGTAAACACAAACATGCAATTTTTGTTGAAGCAGCGTATAAGACTGGGGTCTGCATTTTTTTTTAAGCGAATACCTTATAACAGTATTGTATCACAGTACGTTTGTCATCTTGATTTGGATGTTTATTACTATGAATATTTTCTCCATGATAACTTTGTTTTTCACCTTTATATAGCTCACCTATGTGATGTTTCTTCATTTCTCACTGATGCCATGGAAACATTAGTGATTAGGCCTCAGACTGTAGAGGAAATAGCAGAAGACAATTTAAAATATTTAAACTTACATGAACAAAAAGAAGGGGTAAGATACTATTTTATCATATCCAGGACAACACCTATCAAAAAATGTAATTGCTTTCTAGTATGGAAACTTACATTTAATGTAACTAGTTTAGAACATGCAGCGGCCCTATAGGGTCAGGGCAGCGGTCCGTGTAGCACAGTATTTTGTCTCCAGCAGTAGAATAAAGTGGCTGCCTAGATGAAAATACAAAATCAAGGTAGCATATTTGATGCTTTCCCACACTTGTAGCCTCCAACCAGAATCTTTTTGAATATTATGTAGTTCCTGAGCTTATAGTAACACTCAGTGGATTTGTCTTCCACAGCCTTGTCTTGTCTCCTCTTGAAAGCGTGTATACCTTTGACATCCAAAATACCCTCTGGTAAAGTGTAGGTCTATTACCCACTACATGAAGGACCCCTCATTTTTTTTTCACTTGCCATCTGTTGAGTTCATACCGTTTAAGTCTTACATGGGAAGAGGTATGGACCAATCAGTCCCTATTCTTCCTTTTCATGACACACAATTGTAATTTTTTTTGGCTGTGTCCTGTGTCAGCCATCTCTCTTCTAGATTGAAGAGTTTTAGTTTAACTGATCTTTTCTTATACATAAGCCTACTCATAACTTTGGTCATCCTTGTTGCCCTTTGGTAAGTCTTTTCTAGTTTTGCAATAATCTTTTTTCTGTGGGACCAACAGAATTTTGTACAATATTTAGGTTATGAACAAACCATGGATTTATACGATGAAATAGCAGTATTATCTTTTTTATTCTCTTTTTGATCCTTGTGACTCCTAACATTTTATTTACTTCCCTACTGCTCATATCAAGCTGGCATTTTTGTAAAACTGGCTGTCATAATCCCAAAATAGCAATCCTGAAGTGCAGTTGTTAGCTCAGAACTCAACTTGTACATGTGAAATTTATGTCACTCATGGTTATCTACTTGAATGTTGTTTGTCACTGGTATCGTCAGTCGCTATTTCTTCTAAGTTCATTCTGCAGTTCTTCACAGGTGAACTATTTTAATGCCTACAATAACTTAGTATCATCAGTAAACTTTATCATCTCACAGGCTAGTCTTCTTTTTCAACTCTTTTATAAACACCTTGAGCAGTCCAGCACAGCTACCTGCAGAACACCATGGGTGACCTTTTTCTAATGCAGGAGCTAGCCATTGCTCCTATCTCTGTTTTCTATCTTTTACTCAACTAATTGTCTTTGCAAGGGACCTTTGTTCTTATGTCAAGGGTAGCAGGTTTCCTTAAATGCCTTTGGTGAGGGTTTGTGTTAAAAGCTTTCTGGAAACCCAGCTGGAATATAAAATTTTAATTTCCTTCATCTGTACCCTTACTGATGCCTTTAAAGAACTCTGGTTCTACAAAATTGTGGAATTCTACAAAAGCCATATTGACTCTTTCCAATCGAACAATATTTGTCCAGAAAAGGATTTAGTTCTAAGTGAATGCGTCTGAGTTTATGTGTGTATGTGCAGGTGTCTGCAGTGTGCATGCTAATATACTCAGTGGAAGTATGGTTCAGTTGCCCACAAGTGCAGTTCTAGAGTTACTGAGATGCATATGCAACATCCACGCAGGACTGGCAGACGTAACAGAGGAGTTCTGGGAGGCCTTTACCTTTCTGTAGTTGCAACTGGAGGCCAGGCCGGTGGCCTAGGGCATCTCAAAAGGCCCTGGACATGTATTTGTGAGAAACTGAATCGAGTCCCTAGTGAATGTGTTCTCCAGGGGTCAGTACTGGGTCCAGTCTTGCTGAAGGTATTCATCAGTTACCTGGACAAAGGGACAGAGTGCACTGTCAGCAAGTTTGCTGATGACACAAAACTGGGAGGAGTGGCTGACACACCAGAACGCTGTGCTGACTTTCAGCAAGACCTGGACAGGCTGGAGAGCTGGGCAGAGAGGAACCTAATGAGGTTGAATAAGGACAAGTGTAGGGTCCTGCACTTGGGGAGGAACAAACCCACGCACCAGTACTAGGTGGGGGTCAACCTGCTGGAGAACAGCTCTGTGAAGGACCTGGGATTTCTGGTGGACAGCAAGTTGACCATGAGCCAGCAATGTGTCCTTGTGGCCAAGAAGGCCAATGGTATCCTGGGGTGCATTAAGAAGAGTGTGGCCAGCAGGTCAAGGGAGGTTCTCCTCCCCCTCTACTCTGCCCTGGTGAGACCGCATCTGGAGTCCTGTGTCCAGTTCTGGGCTCCCCAGTTCAAGAGGGACAGGGAAC